CCCGGCACAGAGAGCGCATGAGTCTGGCCAGTAGCGGGTTTGCCAGTGTCTCCTACGGAGGCGTGTTTTGTTCCCTGCATTAACCGTTAGAACGAAAACAGCCGAGGCTCTGGCCTCAAGTCCCAAAATGGAGGTTCCAGTGCCAATCTTGTTCGGATTCTGGAAATCAGGGTTTGCAGGCAGGGGGCCTACAACATGGACTTGAGAACCTTCTTCTGTTTATACATATGGCAAATTCTCTACCAAGCACCCCCGCCCCCCGCGGGCCGCCGTGGCCAGTTCTGTTGGATAAGCTAGCATTCCTTCTCCCACACGGATTCCTATCACATACTTTGCTGTTCGCCCACCTTAGGCCAGTAACAAAACTCTGCTCCACCGGTCCCTGCATTTACCCTGTTCAAGTTCAGAAAACATAGTGCTAAGTCGCCAGGTAACTTCACCGTGCACCCTACTAATGTTTTGCAGGCTTCAGCCCTGGCTGTTACTAGTGAGTTCCAACTGTTGACACTCAGGCCACCAAACTTATCCAGAAAGCGGACACTGCAACCAGCGTGGGCCTTGTGTCTTCAGGCTGGCTCTGCTGTACCTAAAAAGGCCACGCTAGACATGTCCAAATGCTGTCACAGGCCACAAGCCATCCTCTCTCTCCTGGATGGTTGGTCTTCAAAGTCCTTATGGTGGGGACAGGGATGAAGTTCTCAACCTCCTTCTTCTTTGGTTGGCCAGTCCCAAGCCCAGGTCAGTTACGAGGCTTCATCTAATTACACAGCACAGCAGCGTGGCTGCCACCAGAAGACATTACTATTACAGTCTTTGCGAAACTCCGAAAGTAATTAAAATCATGCGTATAGGATAATACTAGGCGTAAAATATGAAAGGAAAAGTTGAGCAAAGTTCCAAAGGCCCTAAAAGCTCTAAATTACAAGTGGGCCAGAGAGTAGTATATTCGGTCATTTTATTCTAAGGCTAAAGACTTACTAGGGGTGAATCTACTGCTTCTCCATATCGCTAAAGTGAAAACCATGCCACATGGACTTCCCGTTCCACCAAGGTGGCAGCATCAGGGCCTAGCACACCATCAAGTTCCAGAAACAGTAGCATTTCAAAGTTAAGTCAATCGCTGGTGCATGTACTGCATGTGATTCAACATTGGGAAATAACATCTCTCGCGGGAGATAAAACTAATCACGTTTTGTAAGGCGTAGGAGGCTGCTAAGTACTTCTTAAAGTATGGCGTTATGAACCACATTCATCAGAATCCCTGGCAATTTGTTAGCAAGGCAGATTCCTAGGGCCTTCAGAATTATTAACACAGATTTTTTACCATGACCACATTGCGCGATAACATTTGACATCGGGAGTCACTGTCTGTTTTCCGAAACGCTCTTATTTTCCGTTGTAGCCTCTTTTCTGTGTTGTAAACTGCTCGTCCGGACCTGCGGCCTGGCTGTCGGGATCCGCAGACTGAGTCACAACCCCACGCTCCAGAGACACCGCTCCAGCTGACTGGGAGGAAGCCCCGCTGGGGCTGCGGAAACCAGGCACACACCCGAGGCGGCGTGATGTGCAGGTGGGGAGCGACTCCCCGCCTCTTCCAACTTCAGCAGAATGAACAGCTTGTCAGCGAATCTAGCTACTTGGATGATTTCAGGCACTGAAAAGCGGTTGCAGGCTTCACTGACAAACCCGAAAGGTACCTACTGTCTTAGATCCAGACAGGGGAAGTCCTCCATGGGAACAACTGTCTCTAGACCTTCAGGGTTGAGAAAGACACATGAGCAGAGTGTGCACAACTTGAGCTTCCTGGCACGGCCCCACCCACATCCTCTCGGCAAAAGCTTCAAAGCCCTTGCCCTCCGGCTCTCCCACCCATTCACACCAAACAGCCACTGGGGTAAATGACAGTAAAACACTTAAGTATTGTCCTATCTCAACACTACAATTTAATAAATGCTTGTGGTTTAGCAGCGCCTTGGAAGCCCCTCATCTGTTTTCAGTCTTTCATTTTTCTTATGGGCGGTTCTCTCTTCTCCCCTGCATGTGCCACCCAGCTTCTCCTGCCTCCCTCCTCTCCTCTCCCCCCCCTCCCCCCACTTCCACCTGCTGGAGAGTGCAGTGGGATACATTGTATGTCTCCTTCTCCCCAGCCCAGTACTTAACAAACACCAGATCTGGTTAATGATCACCTGTACCTGTTTACCACTCTCCCGAGGAACCACCTGCCTGTCCCTTTCTTCAGGCTGAAATTCTAAGGGAGGGGGCTACGCAGAGCAGACAGGGGTCTGCAAGAGAAGCAGCTGGGTTTGGGGGAGAGGAAGCACAAGGCTGGGAGCCTGGCTTCCTACCTGCCGCTCCTGCTACAGTATCTCGCTGGTACAGTTCCCTGGTGGGCCACTCCCACAACGGGCGTCTCTTATTCAGTCAACGAATATTATATTGAGCGTCTCTATGCTGGGAATCTGTCTAGGATCTGGACCTACTACTACAAGATAAGGTCCCCGCCCTCATGGAATTTCAGCCTCATGGGAGAGACACACGATAATCAAATGAACACATCCATATATAACGCCAGGGGGAATTAAGTACTCAGAGGGATAACTGAGTAACTTGGGACCAGCGCACAGCAAGTTACTATTTTATAGGCGGTATTCCGGGACAGGCCCCTGGGAGCTGACAACGGGGTGGGGACCTCAGGAAGCAAGGCAGGGAGCCTCTGGACAGGAGGGAAAAGCTCCCCGTGCTAAGTGAATGAGCCGCGCAAAGGCCCTGGGGAGGGAACTTGGTGGAAAAGGACATGAGGCAACTGGAGTGGCTGCTTTAAGGACAGAGAGATGGGACATGTGGGGGGAGGGGAGACTGGTGGGCGGGGCGATCAACAGAACCACCTGCCCTGCAGCCCAGTGACTGGCCCAGGTCCTCAGGTCCATCCCATCCATATGTGGGCTGCCTCCCAGCCTGCCCCTGCCTGACACCTCCCAGTCCCCATTCCTCCTGACCCCAACCCCCTTGCAGAGTTCCAATACCCCAATACCCCAGGTCATTCCCTCACAATTTCCCAAGCACTAGTACATCTCTTTTTTTTTTAATTCTTTGAATAATAAATCGGGTGGGAAAGCAAGCAACGTGCACATTTAACTACAGCCCCAAAGACATAGGAAATGCTCCACAGGAAAAAGGAGAGGGTCAGAAGGTCAGCTCCAAGGAGAAAAGGTGAGCGGCGTGAGAGCAGGGGGTCTGCCCTTCTAATTGACCACCCCCAGTCCTGTCGACAGTGGGAGGGACAATAATCCTTGCCACCACCTAGGAAGCAGATATGGCGGTGCGATGCTATGGAAGGTCGTGACCAGAGGAAGCCCGTCATAACAGTTGCCGCCAGCCAGTCTTTTCCATCTCAAAGTCTGTCTGCATCTCACAGTTACCCTCCAAGAGCTGTCACATGAATGCAGGTCACGAATGACTTGGACTTCACAGACAGAGCGTCTTTCACCGCCCCCACCTCTAAGTCACCGGTGGTCCTCAGTGGGGAGAGCTCACTGCCTCGGCCCGAGCCTGAAACCCTTCTCTCAGGATCTTTAAAATTTTAGACACCATATAATGAACTAAGTCTGTCTCATTCATGGCCAGGGGTGTTAGGAGTCGCATGGTGGGGGCACAGGACATCACAAAACATGCGCCGTGAGTCTCTGGGGTTGTCCAGAGGCCCCCAGAGCCAGGTCACCGCTGGGGGCCGAGCACTTGGCCTTTAGGTCATTGTAGGACCTAACCCCAGCAACCCGGCCCCAAGCTGCCAACTTCGAAAGGCCCCCCGGAGGAAGAGGGTCACTCGGCCGGGAGGCCCTGGTTCCGGAGCCCCTTTCGATCTTTCTCTATTACCCACACGCGCGCACGCACACATACACACGCGCACACACACTCGCCGCCCTCGCGCGCGCCCGCGACACAACACGGACTTCCCAACCCCTAGCACACGCGCGCACCCCAGACCGGCTGAGTTCTCTATTTCCTCTTCCTCAAAGCGACTCTTGCGATCTCTGCCGCCCCTCTCCGCTCAGACTGTAGGGCCCCCACAGCTCCGTTGCCCCCTTCTCTGAAGGCGCGCCCGGTGCGCCCCCTCTCCGTGGCTGGTCTCTCGCATCGAAGCCCCCCGCCGTCTTTTCCGATCCCAGCGGGGACTTCGGCGTGTCCCCGGAGGCGAGTATTTGCTAATGGTGGTCCCCGGGGCTCCCAGCTGCCCCGACCACCCGCTCTGGTCCCTCCTGGCCCTCCATCCCTCCAGCCCATCACCGCCCCCTCCCAGGAGCGCGCTTGCCGGGGGATTCCCTCCCGTCTGCCAGTGCCCGAGAAAAGCCGGGAGTCCGAGCCGCCAGTTTCTTCTCTGGCGCAGCTTCCCGGGTCTCCAAGCCCCCAAAACCACACTCCCCCATCCCCAACCCCCCGGCGCCAGCGGCTCGGCTCTCCGGCGGCCCCCTCCAGCCGGCCTTGGCTGAAATGTCTCTGCGGGTTCCCGGGCCCCGGGCCCTGCGCTTCATCCCGGGCCCCCTCCCCCCGCTCCCCCTGCCCCCTCTCCCCCTCTGCCCAGACTTCCCCAACTGCGGAGCGCCCCAGCGCGCCCGCAGCCTTCACCCCGCAGAGCGCCGTGGCCACCCCCGCCCGAGCCGCGGCGCCCCCAGGGAGGAAACAAAAGTGTCTCCGCGGCGACCAGAGTCCCCCAGAGCAGGACGCCTCCTCTTTGCCCCAGCCCCATCTCCCTCCCCGGTAGCGCTGAGGTCAGCGAGTCGGGGCGCGGCGCCAGCCCAGGAAACTTTACGAACCTGCCCGGGGTCGCCGGACAGCGGCTGTGGCGGCGAGGCTTCCCAGCGAACAGAGCTCTGGCGACCCGGGACCATTGAAGGGGGGCCGGAGGCTCTGTGGCCCTGCTCGGGCCGCGGCGGTGTGGGTGGTCCGCCTCTATCCCTCGCCCATCCTCGCCCGCTCGCGCTCGCCGGAGCACACGCACTTACACTCCGGGTCGGCCGGCTGTGCGCCGCCGGCTGCCGCTGCTCTCACTTCCTCTTCCTTCCTCCTGCTGGCCAGGGACACATTGTGCATCTGCAAGGCATCCCGAGACCAGCCGCGAACTCTCCTCCCGAACCGACGCTGCGGGGTGGCCCTGGCCGCCCCGGCACCTGCGCCTGGACACGCGTGGTTGGCGCGTTCGCCCCCCGCCCGCGTCCTGGTGCCTGCCCACCGCACTTTGTGGCGCGGGGGCGGGGGGGCGCGTCGGCGAGAGGGCAGTGCCCACGACTTTTTGAAGTCCCCGTACTTAAAAAGAAGAAAATGTCAAACACCGTGCACGCCTCAGATCTGCTATAAATAATACGTGTGCAGAGCCTGACTTCTCGGATGAGCTCACACGCGGCATTTTGCAGGCACTAATTAACTTCGTCACCCTCAGAGCGCCACCTCCAGGAGGCCGAGAGCGCGTGACATCTTTTTACGTGCCTTCATTTTTGGCAACTGGTCTGGAACCTTGAGGAGAAACTTCGGTGGGTTGTTTGAAAGCTACTTGAAGAGGCCAGTGTGTATGTTTTGACGCTCTGCTGGCATCCTTGGGCCCGTGGCAAAAATACCCACAGAGTGCTTCCTTCTCTCACTCACCTTGGCGTTTATGGACAACAGGATTTATTTCTGAGCCACTGAGCCAGGGACTCCCCTAATTTTGCAAAACGTTGCACAAAGCAAGTCGTTCTGCCCCCAATTTGTTATTTGGAGTACATTATTTAATTTATGGAACCTACTTCAGTCATTTTCAAAGCAGAAATCAAACACGCTCACTCCCAGTTTAGCTGCCAGGAGGGAAATGAGCTTGTTGGAAGGTTGCGCGAGAAACACCTGTCCTCCCCAAATTCAGAAATAGCTACCTTGGCTCCACCAGGAAATGCAAAGGCAGGTGTGAAACACTCCCTTCAGTTGCCAAAGAAGGTAAGTTGGGGGCAGAGAGGCAATAGAATCAAAGGTAAAACTCCTCTCTAAATTTCAACAACCTCTCCCCAACCCCCTGGAGGTAGAAATCGTAACCCTGTGCTAGCTGGTCATTAGCAACCAAGAGTTCCAAGAAGTTATGGACCACACAAAATGCGGCTAGTCCTGAGATGTTTAGTTAGCAGAAACTAGGGGACTTAGTCTGAGAAACAGAATGTAAAATAGCTTGTTAATAGTTTTAGTGTTGACTACATCCTTTCAGCAAATGACGATAGTTTAGATGTAATGAATCAATTGGGTTAATACATTTATACCATATATGTAGACATAGATGCATCTTAAAATAATTTCACTGGTTTCTTTTTACATTTTCAATGTGACTACGAGAAAAAGTAAGATTACATATATGACTTTCATTAGTGGCTCACATTATATTTCCAATGAACAGCTCTTCTGACCCTTTACTACGTGCATAACCTTGGGAGGAAGTATTAGTAGCTGGAATACTTGGGTCCAGATCATTATAAGCCAATAACTTAAATCAGGGTGATTCTAGGAAAGTAATTCAACCTTTCTATTCTCTCATCTACAAAACAGTAATGATATAATAATAACAGCAAGGCAACTATCAAATGAGGTAATTTAATAAGGTGTCAGTAAAAGCATTCTTTCCTAATGATGCTGAGCCGCTTGTAGTGATAAGTATGAATTTGATCCACAGCTTTCTAGCTGACACACAAGGACCTTAACTCTAGGGCAGACATCGTGAGCCCTCAGTACACATTAGTTGTTCCAATTGCCCCAGTAGTAAACGGGGAACTCTGCGTCCCCTCCTTGCACAGCAATGAGACAGGCCTCCTCCCTGCAACCTTTGCTCCCAGCTCTGCCCTCTGCGGAGAACCCAAGTCGTACCTAAGTCACATCCTTCCTCTGAGAGAGAACCTTTCAGATTCCCTAACACAGCCCTCCTCCCGTTCTACCCCAGCAGTCTCTTCTGAGGAGTAAACAGCCTCAGTCACTCTAATTCATCTTCGTGTGACATGGTTTCAAATGTCTCTCCTCTGAGCCATGTTCTTTCCCCTTGAAGGACACGTGACTCTGCCCTTTCAAAAATGTTAGTTGTCATTTAAATTAATTCCCTAATTTATGCAATCAATTAGCCGGAGCCAACTTTTAAAGGCAATGAATACAGCCTAACCGCGTCGATTATTTTTCAAATGCACCGCACTGTGGATCCCAGGGCAAGAAGACTGTAATGGCTTTGCTCTGTTACTGTTAGGCCATATCCAAGTTTAGGGGATTGCTGCCTGGGACCAGAGCCCGGCCCATCCTCTCGGAGTCTCTGGCCTTGACTCGGGCACGCAGGGTTTCTCACATCTGCAGGTCCGGGGAGAGAGCGCGAGGGTCCTGGGTGACAGCCCACGATGGGGCTCCTGCCACGGCAAGACCAGCGTTCTTTGGGTTCACTGCTTCACTCAGCTGCTAATAACACTCTGAACTGTACAACGGCCAGATCTTTTTTCTTTTTTTTTTTACTGTATTCATAAAGACTTCTCAGAGGTGTCACACGCCTTAGGGAAACCCGCCTGCACCCTGGGCTCCGCTGGTGGTCTGCGCAAGGCACAGCAGAGCCGTGTTGTCCTGCGCAAGGCTCCGCCCCCAGACTGGTGGTTGGTGTAAATCCCAGCACCGCCCTGTACGAGCTGCATCACCCTGTGCAAATGAGAACTCATGGGATTAAAGTCACACCTGCCTGGGAGGGCTGCGTGAGGACCCAATGAGCCGGTACATGTCTTCAAGTTCTCAAATCAGGGCCTTAGCTCTCATTATCCACACCAGTCCTCTAATCAACAAGTCATGTGAACAGAGTCCCCCCAAAAAGCATATCCCCTCCTTTTTCCCACATATGAGGTTATAGCCATAGGGGAGGGAGAGAGCTAGTCTTACTGCTCTGGTTTTTCTTCAGCCCCTGGACAGAGCTGGAGCCATTCAGTCTCAGGCCACCCTGCAGGAGAGAGGAGGGCCACTGAGGGGCGAGGGCACAGAACGCGAGGGGCGCCCTTCAGCGGCCCTGGCAGTGACCCCACCTGGGCAGGGCTTCGCCCTGCAGATGAGCCCGCCTCATCACCCTCTCAGGGGTAGGGAAGGGGGCTCGGGCTCTTCTCTGCAGGACCACCCATGTCAGCTTCAGGACGGCGGGAAGAAAGGACGTGGGGGAGGAAGGGCCGGGGAGCCGGGGAGACGACAAACTCTCTGAAGCCTCAAGTCCAAACTGATTTGCGAGACTGTGCTTACAAGGCACCTTTGCAGTGTTGACAGATGGACAGGTGTTTGGGGGAATTTCCCAGATTTTCATACCTTGATCCTGTGTTTCCCATATCTCTAGCCTTCCTTACATGTACAGAATCCAAGATACAAGGGGTGAGTCGAAAGTTATCAAAGTGTCACCATAAAACCCCCACATGCGAAAATAGCCTGTTATTTTTTTAATCAATGATGATGCACGTTAATCAACTTTTTCCTTTCTAAGTGCTCACACATATTCATTTCTAATTTATTAAAAAACAAAAACATTTATTGGAGTCCAAATGGGCCTTGTGCGTTTAATAATGCATTTAGTAATTTGCTTCAGAATTCTGCCCCCATCAGCCTCAGCTTCCTTGATTTATTGCTTGAAGACTCTGTTCTCTGCTCCTGTGTTAGAATCAGGCTGGTGCTGGCCAGGCTCCAGCCTCCAGACAGCTCGGGGGCCGGAGAGTGGCCTCCGCTTCAGGGAGCCACTGCACCAGAGATAACAAGGTCTGGCCCGCCGGCAGACAATCCTAGTGACAAGGAGGGGTCCTATGCCAGGGGCCCCTTCCTGTCAATCATTCATTATTAATTTGGTGTGCACTTAAGGTCTTAAATGTGACCTACGGAGAGGGAGGCTACCGTGGTGAGAGAGAGAAACACGGGCGCCCCCTCCTGGCACTTCTATTAAATCCTCAGGAAGACACGCTTGAAATGAACAGAAAGTTACAGGACCCTGTGGGACCAGGGATGCTGACATCAGCTGTCCAGGCCTCCCCGGGAAGCGCTGCTTGAGTTGAGACCTGGAGGGAGACTACGCGTTAGCTGGGACCAAGAGGAAAAAAAGAAAGGAGGCTGGATAAGGGGGGGAGGGTACTAGGAAAAAGGAAACAGTTTGTAGAAACCATACTGGAGGAGGAAACTGAGAAGGTCAGTTTGGTGGACGTGTGAAGATATGAAAATTGGATCTAAGAGCAGTGGGAAGAAGCAAAATTTGGGAGCCCCTGAGAGTCCTATCACAGGACTTGGATACATGAAGGATAACGGGAAAGTGGTAACGCTTTTTTTTGTTTTGCTCTCCAAATGAAATATTTTAAGCAAGAGATTGCCATGGTCAGGTTTGTTTGTTGTTTGTTTTGTTTTTTTAATTTTAAAGTCTGATCCCACTAAATAGAGAATGGATTCAAGGAGAGAGACAAATGCACACGGGAAGGACAAACAGGGAATTGCTGCAGGAAGCAAAAGCTAGAGACGATGGTCATGCGCTAGCCAAGGGACCGGGGAGAGCTGCAGAGGCTGACACGTGACAAAGGAGGCAGCGGGCACGTAGGACCAACAGCTGTCCATCCTGGTTTGGCAGGATCACAGACAAGCAGTTTGCTTCCTCCTTGCTGCCGTGGCCTAACCAGACACCGAACTCGACTGGCCCTCAGGTAGCCTTGTGTCCCACAGGTCAAGAAATGAAAGACACGGCTCCACTCTAATTTAGCCGATGGTCATTGCTGTGACACCATGACTCAGGGTTCATCTCCAACACGTCCTCATGTCGTAGCCATCACACTACTTTCCAGGGGGGGAGGACACGGACTCCAAAATGTACAGTTTACTCTCTGTACCGGTCCCCTTCGGGGCTCGCCAGCCCGCCCTACTTGTAAACAAAATATAGCTCCAGGGGCTACCAAGTTCCCTGTTAACCACACGTAAGCCCCCGTTTGGAATTCTGTTTGGTAGAGCATTTATTGAGGCTTTGCGGATCTCGAATGTCCGTGCAGTTACCCACTGTTTACCACCCATGGCCCAAAAACCAACAGCCAAAGAAGCACGGCTCATGAATAACTCAAGGAACCCCTACAACAGTACAGTAAACACTGACAAGAGAATTAACCCATGAATCTCCACAGAGTAAAGCTTGCAGAGTATTCAGAGGTCCAGGCTTGGAGGTCTACTGACACGGAAAGAAATCCCAGCTCTACACCTTAATATCCACATGACCTTGAACAAATTATTGTATTTTTCTCTGAGCCGACCAAATTGGGATAGTGGGAGGGTGACACATCTCTCAAACAATGTAAATGCTCAATAAATGGAGCCAAAATGAATGTCGACCACTATGCACTTGTAACGGTTATTCATCTCTACCATGATAGTCAGGTGGAGAGATTAAG